ACCCAACAGAAAAAAAATTTTAGTGAATTTATTGCCTCAAAGTTGCTTTCTTCTGTTGTAATTACTGGTATGTAGCAGGTTATCAGTCCTGGTTTACTGTAAATTTCATGTTCGGATAACTTTGATGTCTAATTTATTGGCTTTTCAAAGTGAAACCAAAACAATTATTGTCAAACTTACGTTTTTTGCCCCATTGACGTTGTTCCATTGAGCAGGAAATGGAGTATGGAGGGAATATGAGTCCTGAATCAGTAATTTCGACCATTTTGAAGGACATATATGCAAATTTTGATGGATGCTAATGCACATGGATTTTTAGAGCACTTTTTAATATTTTCAGCTGATTGAGGATCAAATAATAATATTTTTCCATACATGCGAATAAAACCCAAATCAACCATAACCAAATAATTATTATGCACAGAAAAAATTTAAATAAAGATGTCATTTTTTATTTTTCTTCAAAACTCTGTTTATTTGAAGGAAAAATTTGATCCCACCTTTGGAGATACTGATAGTTGGATCAGACACTAATGAAAATGTATGTTAATCGAATAATAAAAACTCCTTAGTATCAAATTATGTGCATGAGTAACTCAATTATTTTCATTGGCCTCAATTTTTCAATAGTTTTGCTATCGAGCCATCGGATTTTCCAACAATTATGCTATGAAGCTGTTGGATGACACAACTTATGAATTCATTCACGCTTATTCACAAATAATGTATTGACACGTGTTCTTCAATAAATACACTTTAGACATGTGTCAATACATTAAGTGATGGATGACTCCATAAAAAAATCATCCGGTGACTTCATAGAATTTCTGATTTTCCAAACCCAGAATTGGCCGAGCTCATGATAATATTACTGCTCATTTATTAGCACAATTCTTTACATGTCCATGTCTAACCGTTAGACTGGTTGACTCGTCGTACAAATTTTTATTATGAAGTGTGGTTTTTTTTTATTCATGTTATTTATTAAAATAGGATATTTCAAATACATATATTGAAAAAAAAAATATATGATTGTATAAGCTTAGTATAAAAAAGTAACAACTATAGTTAAAAAAATTGTGAAATAATATGAAAAAAAGCGGATTTTTTTTATTCCAATACCGCTTTTTCATGGGTGGGTTATTTTTTTAAAAAAATATAAAAATCTGTGGCAAAAAATAAAAAAAAAATAATTGTGGAAAAAAATCAAACGGACGGATTCTGAAAATACGTGTTTTCAATTAAAATTTTTAACCGAAACACAGATTTTCAGAATCCGTTTTTGTTTTACATTTTATTTTTTTTTAAAAAATGAAAGTCGAAACTGTCGGTGGATTTAAATATTAATACTGGAAAACGCGTATTACCAAAATCCGTGTTACGTTTAAAAAAAAAAAAAAACGATATACACGGATTATGCGAATCCGTGTTTTGGTCAATATATACAACTGCAAACTGCTCCCCCGACCACAAATCATTCATCAATCCGAAATTTTTTTCTTTTTTCTGTTCGATTTTTTAAGACAATTTAAGAAAAAAAACATTTCAACCAATCGTCGGGGAAGAGGTTAGTTGTTATTTTAATGTAATGTAGTATTATGTTTTTGTTGTTTATTAATGTTTAATTGAAGTATATTTGGTTAA